TTCCCGTGGATATTCCCAGTTTTCCTCGGCGGTGCTGGTGGGGCTGTACCTGTTCGAGCGATTCCCGGCGTTCCTGGTGGGAATGGGGCTCTTCACCAACCTCGTCTACTTCGGATTGCTCCGGACTTTTCCCTTCATCGTCCTCACTTCCTCCAACTTCATCCTGTCCTGCGGTCAGGGATCCCAGCCGGGGATTTTGGGGGATTTTTGGGATCAGGGAAGGGCTCGGAATGGCCCCAGAAATTTGGGATTCCCTGGAGATTCCCAAGGGCTCGGAGTGGCCCAGAAATTTGGGATCATTGGATGCCCGGTCCGGGGGTTGGGGGTTCCTGGGTGTCCTGGAAATTTGGGATTTTGGGATTTCCCAAAGGCTCAGAGAATTCCAGAAATTCGGGATCCTTGGATACCCCAAAAGGTCCGGAGAATTCCAAAGAATTGGGGGTTCCTGAGTGTCCTGGAAATTTGGGATTTTGGGATTTCCCAAAGCTCAGAGAATCCCAGAAATTTGGGATTCCTGGGGATTCCCAAGGTCTCGGAGTGTCCCACAAATTCAGGATCCTTGGATACCCCAAAAGATCCGGAGAATTCCAGGGGTTGGGGGTTCCTGAGTGTCCTGGAAATTTGGGATTTTGGGGTTCTCCAATGGGTCGGAACATCCCAGAAATTTGGGATTCCCTGGAGATTCCCAAGGGCTCGGAGTGGCCCAGAAATTTGGGATCTTTGGGATTTCCCAAAGGCTCAGAGAATTCCAGAAATTCAGGATCCTTGGATACCCCAAAAGATCCGGAGAATTCCAGGGGTTGGGGGTTCCTGAGTGTCCTGGAAATTTGGGATTTTGGGATTTCCCAAAGCTCAGAGAATCCCAGAAATTTGGGATTCCTGGGGATTCCCAAGGTCTCGGAGTGTTCCACAAATTCAGGATCCTTGGATACCCCAAAAGATCCGGAGAATTCCAGGGCTTGGGGGTTCCTGAGTGTCCCAGAAATTTGGGATCTTTGGGGTTCTCCAATGGGTTGGAACATTCCAGAAATTTGGGATTCCTGAGGGTCCCCAGAGGCTCGGAAAATTCCAGGAATTTGGGATCTTTGGGGTTCTCCAATGGGTCGGAACATCCCAGAAATTTGGGGTTCCTGAGGGTCCCCAGAGGCTCGGAAAATTCCAGGAATTTGAGATCCTTGGGCACCCCAAAAATTTCGGGAATTCCAAGGAATTGGGGGTTCCTGAGTGTCCCGGAAATTTGGGATTCCTGGGGATTCCCAAGGTCTCAGAGTGTCCCAGAAATTTGGGATTTTGGGATTTCCCAAAGCTCAGAGAATCCAGAAATTTGGGATTCCTGAGGGTCCCCAGAGGCTCGGAAAATTCCAGGAATTTGGGATCCTTGGGCGCCCCAAAAATTTCGGGAATTCCAAGGAATTGGGGGTTCCTGAGTGTCCCAGAAATTCGGGATTTTGGGACTTCCCAAAGCTCAGAGAATCCAGAAATTTGGGATTCCTGGGGGTCCTCAGAGGCTCGGAAAATTCCAGGAATTTGAGATCCTTGGGCGCCCCAAAAATTTCGGGAATTCCAAGGAATGGGGGGTTCCTGAGTGTCCCGGAAATTTGGGATTCCTGGGGATTCCCAAGGTCTCAGAGTGTCCCGGAAATTTGGGATTTTGGGATTTCCCAAAGCTCAGAGAATCCAGAAATTTGGGATTCCCTGGAGATTCCCAAGGGCTCGGAGTGGCCCAGAAATTTGGGATCTTTGGATGCCCGGTCCGGGGGTTGGGGGTTCCTGGGTGTCCTGGAAATTTGGGATTTTGGGATTTCCCAAAGCTCAGAGAATTCCAGAAATTCGGGATCCTTGGATACCCCAAAAGATCCGGAGAATTCCAGGGGTTGGGGGTTCCTGAGTGTCCCAGAAATTCGGGATTTTGGGACTTCCCAAAGCTCAGAGAATCCAGAAATTTGGGATTCCTGAGGGTCCCCAGAGGCTCGGAAAATTCCAGGAATTTGGGATCCTTGGGCACCCCAAAAATTCCGGGAATTCCAAGGAATTGGGGTTTCCTGAGTGTCCCGGAAATTCGGGATTTTGGGGCTTCCCAAAGCTCAGAGAATCCCAGAAATTCGGGATTCCTGGGGATTCCCAAACCCTCCGAAAACCCCCCAAAAATCCAGGATTTTCCCAAACCCTCTGGAAAAAAAAAAAAAAAATCCAAGAAATGAAAAACCCCCAAATTCCAGGCTTTGGGAATGGGGGGAGGGCTCCAAAATTCGGGAATTTCCCTCTGGAATGTGCTGATCCCGCTGTTTTTCCCTGTTTTTCCCGGCAGTGCTGGTCGTGGTCAATCACTACCTGGCATTCCAATATTTTGCCGAGGAATTTTATCTCTTCTCCGAGGTGAGATCCCGTCGGGAAGCAAAATCCTGGGATTTTCCCGGGAAAAACTGGAAAATCCCGAATTTTAGGGATTTTCCTGAGTTTTTTAAAATTCCTGGGAAGTCGCAGGTTTGGGGTTTTCCCCGAGAAATTTCGGGAACGTGGAAAATTCATCGCAGTTTATCCCTAAAAAAATTCGGAAAAGCGGGAATTCGCGTGGTTCAAATTCCGGGTTTTTCCCGTTGGGAATTCCCATTCCTGACTTTTCTGGAATTCCATGGGGAAAATCCCCATTCCGTAAAAATGGAGGAAAATCCCGTTTTTCCCATGAAATTTGTGGGGAGATTTCATGGAATTTAAATTTTCCGGCTGGAATTTTTTGGGGAATTCCGGCTGGAATTGTTGGGAATTCTGGCTGGAATTTTTTGGGAATTCCGGATTGAATTTTTTGGGAATTCCAGTTGGATTTTTTGGGGGAAATCTGGCTGGAATTGTTGGGAATTCTGGCTGGAATTTTTTTGGGAATTCCATCTAGAATTTTTTTGGGAATTCTGGCTGGAATTTTTTGGGAATTCCATCTAGAATTGTTGGGAATTCTGGCTGGATTTTTTTGGGAATTCTGGCCAGAATTTTTTGGGAATTGCAGTTGTATTTTTTGGGGGAATTCCGGCTGGAATTGTTGGGAATTCTGGCTGGATTTTTTTGGGAATTCTGGCCAGAATTTTTTGGGAATTCCGGTTGGATTTTGTTGGGGAATTCCGGCTGGAATTGTTGGGAATTCTGGCTGGAATTTTTTGGGAATTCCGGATTGAATTTTTTGGGAATTCCAGTTGTATTTTTTGGGGAATTCCGGCTGGAATTGTTGGGAATTCTGGCTGGATTTTTTTGGGAATTCTGGCCAGAATTTTTTGGGAATTGCAGTTGTATTTTTTTGGGAATTCCGGCTGGAATTGTTGGGAATTCTGGCTGGATTTCTTTGGGAATTCTGGCTGGAATTTTTTTGGGAATTCTGGCTGGAATTTTTTGGGAATTCCGGTTGGATTTTTTGGGGGAATTCTGTCTGGATTTTTTTGGGAATTCCGTCTGGAATTGTTGGGAATTCCGCAGGTTCTGGCGTATTTCACCTTCTGCCTGTGGCTGATTCCTTTCGCCTTCTTCGTGTCGCTGTCGGCCGGGGAGAACGTCCTGCCCTCCACCGTGCAGCCCGGAGGTGGGAACCGCCGCCGGAAAAACAACGGGAATAACGGCGGGAATATCGGGAATAATGGCGGGAATAACGGGAATAACGGCCGGAATAATGGCGGGAATATCAGGAATAACGGCGGGAATAACGGCGGGAATAGCGGCGGGAATAACGGCGGGAATATCGGGAATAACGGCGGGAATATCGGGAATATTGGGAATGGGAATATCAGGAATGGGAACGGGAATGGGAGTGGGGATGGGATCGGGAATGGGATCATGAATATCGGGAATGGGATCAGGAATATCGGGAATGGGAGTGGGAACAAGATTGGGAACGGGAATGGGATCAGGAATGTCGGGAATGGGAATGGGAATGGGAGCAGGAACCGGAATGTCGGGAATAACGGGAATGGGAATGGGAATATTGGGAATGGGAGCGGGAATAACGGGAGTATTGGGAATGGGAACAGGAACAGGAGTGGGAATGGGATCGGGAATGGGATCAGGAATATCAGGAACGGGAATGGGATTGGGAATGGGAACGGGAGCAGGAATATCGGGTGTGGGAATGGGAACGGGAATGGGAGCGGGAATGGTGGGAATGGGAATGGGAATGGGAACGGGAATGGGAATGGTGGGAATGTCGGGAATAGTGGGAATGGGAATGGGAATAGTGAAAATGGGAATATTGGGTATGGGAATGGGAGCAGGAATGGGATCGGGAATGGGAACAGGAATGGCGGGAATAACGGGAATGGCAGGAATGGGAATGGGAATATTGGGAATGGGAGTGGGAATAACGGGAATATTGGGAATGGGAACAGGAATGGGAATGGGAGAGGGAATATCAGGAATGAGAATGGGATTGGGAATGGGAGCAGGAATGGGATCGGGAAGGGGATGGAGAACATCGGGAACGGGAATGGGATTGGGAATGGGAACCGGAGCGGGAACAGGAATGGGATTGGGAATGGGAACAGCAATGGCGGGAATGGCAGGAATAACGGGAATGGGAATGGGAATATTGGGAATGGGAGCGGGAATAACGGGAATATTGGGAATGGGAACAGGAATGGGAATGGGATTGGGAATGGGAGCAGGAATGGGATCGGGAAGGGGATGGAGAACATCGGGAACGGGAATGGGATTGGGAATGGGAACGGGAGCGGGAACAGGAATATCGGGTATGGGAATGGGAACGGGAACGGGAATGGCGTGAATGTCGGGAATAGCGGGAATGGGAATATTGGTTATGGGAATGGGAGCAGGAATGGGATCGGGAATGCGGGAACGGGATTGGGAATGGGAACGGGAATGGGAATGGGAATATTGGGAATGGGAATGGGGACGGGAGCAGGAATGGGATCAGGAATGGGATTGGGAATGGGATTGGGAATATTGGGAATGGGAATGGGAATGGGATTGGGAATGGGATCAGGATCAGGAATGGGATCGGGAATGGGATCAGGAATGGGATTGGGAACATCGGGAATGGGATCAGGATCGGGAATGGGATCAGGAATGGGATTGGGAATATCGGGAATGGGATCAGGATTGGGAATGGGATCAGGAATGGGATTGGGAATATCAAGAATGGGATGGGGAATGGGAATGGGATCAGGATTGGGAATATCGGGAAGGGAAATAGGGACGGGAGCGGGAATGGGATCAGGAATGGGATTGGGAATATCAAGAATGGGATGGGGAATGGGAATGGGATCAGGATTGGGAATATCGGGAAGGGAAATAGGGACGGGAGCAGGAATGGGATCAGGAATGGGATTGGGAATATCAGGAAGGGGAATGGGAATGGGAATGGGATTGGGAATATTGAGAATGGGAATGGGAACGGGAATGGGATTGGGAATGGGAACGGGAACAGGAATGGGAGCGGGAATGGAATCAGGAATGGGAATATCAGGAATGGGATTGGGAATGGGATTGGGAACGGGAACGGGAACAGGAATGGGAGCGGGAATGGAATCAGGAATGGGAATATCAGGAATGGGATTGGGAATGGGATTGGGAGCGGGAAAGGATTTAAAGCTCGTCTGGTTCTGGAATGTCCCGGAAATTTGGGGTTTTTTGGGTGTGGAATGTGTTGGGAATTTGGGATCTTTGGGGTCTCCGAGCCTTTGGAGAATCCCAGAAATTTGGGATCCTTGGGAGATTCCAAGGGCTCAGAAAATCCCAGAAATTTGGGATCTTTGGGGGTCTCTGAACCCTCAGAAAAATCCCAGGGATTTGGGTTCCCAAACCTCCAAAATTCCCAGAAATTTGGGATTCCTGGAGGTCCCTGGAGCTCTCAGAAGATTCCCAGAAATTTGGGATCCTTGGGAGATTCCAAGGGCTCAGAGAATCCCAAAAATTTGGGATCTTTGGGGGTCTCTGAAACCTTGGAAAATCCCAGAAACTTGGGATCTTTGGGATCTCTGAACCCTCAGAAAAATCCCAGGGATTTGGGTTCCCAAAACCTCCGAAATTCCCAAAAAATTTGCGATCCCAGATCACCCCAAAAAAATCCCATCCCGCATTCCCAGCCGGATCTTCCCTCAGGGATCATCCACAACAAATCCGGGAATTCCAACCCAGCCAGGAATTTCCTTCCCAAGATCCCAATCTCCCCTTTCCCAGTGGGATCCATTCCCTGCTTCCCGCCCCTCTGGAATTCCCATTCCCTGTTTTCCGCAGACGACGTCGTCTCCAATTATTTCACCAAGGGAAAACGCGGGAAGCGCTCCGGGATTCTCCTGATTTTCTCCTTTATCAAGGAAGCCATCCTGCCCAGCCGGCAGAAAATCTACTGAAATCCGGGAATTTTCGGGAATTTCCCACGGATCCGCATCCGGGATATCCCAAACTGTGCCTCTCTCCGCCGGGAATTCCTCGGGGAATTCGGACTCCTGGAACGCTTGGAGCTTTTCCAGCTTTTTTTTCCCCTCCCCCCCACCCCACCCCCCGCTGACGTTGGGATGGGATGAGCCCTCGGAATTTTTTGGGAATTTCGGGAATTTTGGGAGTTTTCCCGATTCCCGGGGTTTTTTTTTTTTTATGGAGCTGCTCCCGACAGAGCCGCGGATTGGAAAGAAACCGGGAAAAATCGGGAGAAATCCGGAGGATTTTACGGAGCTCTCCCTTCATCCCGTTTTTTCCAGAGGGAAAGGACCTGGAATGATCCCAAAAAAACCCCAAAATCTTGGGATTTGGGAGGTTTAAATCCCGGAAATTCCCGTTTTTCCCCTCCAGCAAAACCTTGGGAAGGCGTTGGTGGATTTCCATGGGAATCTCCTCGGTTTTCCAGGGAATTCCCAGAATTCCCGGATTTTTCCTTCCTCCTTTTCCAACGGAAAATCTTCCAAGGGAGCTGAAAATTCCATCCTAAAATTCCCGGTTTTTTTTTCTCCTCCCCAGGAATTTTCCTGAATTCCCACAGAAAATTCCAAGAGGAATTTCGGGAAAAGGATCTCGAATCCCACGGAATTCCAACCGGGAGAATTCCAACCCTCTGCTGTTTTTTTTGTTTTTTTTAGGGAAAAAAATTCCGTTGGAAAAGTTGGAATTTTCCTTTGGGACCTCTGGATCGGCTTTTTTTTTTTCCCACCTTTCTGGATTTGCTGGAAAATTCCTGGATTTGGGAATGGGATGGACCAGGACGAGAACAAGGAAATTCAGGAATTCCCGATTCCTTTGAATCCCAATTTTTTCCCGGGATCAAGGATGGGATCAGAATTTCCTGGAGCTGGAGCAGATTCCAGGGAAATTGTGGAATTCCGGAACTTTTTCACCAGGAAAGGGAAAATCCGGGATGAAACCTCCCTAAATTTGGGAAAGCCGTTCCCAAGAATTCCGGGGAGGCGAGAAATTCACGGATAAGGTGGAAAATCCCGGATTTTCCCTGAGGATTTGAGGGTTTTTCTTGGGATTGGGATTTTTCCGGATCCCTGGAAGGGTCCAGGGCTGGGATTGTGGAATTTGGGTGGAATTTTCCCGCTGGAATTCCGGGATTTTGGGGGAAAAATCCTCAGATTCTGATCCCAGCTCCCCCATCCCATGGGATCATCGATTTTCCTGGATCGGGAAAGGGCAGGAAAAGTGGGAATTTCCATTCCCTGAAATTTCCCTGGAAGTAACAGGGGGAGCCAAAAAAAAAAAAAAAAGCTGGATTTGGAAAAATCTGGGAAGAAACTCCAAGATTTGGGAAAAAAAAAATCCGGGAAAATTTCCTGCTCCTTTTTCCAGCAGGAATTTCCCTTTTCCAGGTTTTTTTTTTTGGCCGGGAATTCCGCCTCTCCTTCCCGCTTTTCCTCCTGGAAAATCCGCAGGGAAAAGGAACAGGAATTCAGGGAAATTCGGGAAAATCCCGGAAAATCCCTCCCAGCCTTAAATATTCCAGCTGGAGGAAAAATGGGAAAAAAAAAAAAAAAAATCCGGGATAAATCCGAGGGAATTCCTGGGGAACGGAGGATTTGGGATTCCCGGGAAAAGAGCTTTGGAATGCCGGGAATAATTCCGGGTGATCCCAAATCCAAAGGAAATAAAGGATTTGATTTGGATGTTGTAGAAGAGGAGGAGCTGCCGGAGGTTCTGTGGGATTTTGGGAAGAGATTCCCGAATTTTTTTTTGGGGGGGGGTGGAATTTTGAGGGTGGAATTCCCAGAGAAGCCGGCGGATCTTTGGGAATGTTGAAGGCCTGGATCCGTTTGGAATTACGGGATTGGGGGGGGTTGGGTGATTCCTGAGTCAAAGCGGTGCGGAATTCCATGGAATTCTGGTTTTTCCAGGGATTCCCAGGAGGGCGGGAAATTCTGGGAATGAGGCTGGAAAATCCTGGGGAAAAAAAAAAAAAAAGGTGGAAAATCCTGGGAGAAGAGGCTGGAAAATCCTGGGAATTCAGGGTGGGAAATCGCGGGAAAGGAGGGTGGGAAATCCTGGGAATTCACAGTGGAAAAACCTGGGATAAAAAGGTGGAAAATCCCAGGAAAGAAGAGCAGGAAATCCTGGGAAAAGAGGCTGGAAAATCCTGGGAATTCTGTGTGGAAAATCCCAGGAAATGAGGGAGAGAAATCCTGGGAAAAGAGGCTGGAAAATCCTGGGAATTCAGGATGGAAAATCCTGGGAATTCACAGTGGAAAAACCTGGGATAAAAAGGTGGAAAATCCCAGGAAAGAAGAGCAGGAAATTCTGGGAATGAGGTTGGAAAATCCTGGGAAAAAAAAAAAAAGGTGGAAAATCCTGGGAAAAGAGGCTGGAAAATCCTGGGAATTCTGTGTGGAAAATCCCAAGAAAGGAGGGCAGGAAGTTTTGGGATAAAAGGACGGAAAATCCTGGGAATTCAGGGTGGAAAATCCTGGGAATGAGACAGGAAAATCCTGAGGAAAAAAGGTGGAAAATCCCAGGAAAGAAGGGCAGGAAGTTCTGGGAATGAGGTTGGAAAATCCTGAGGAAAAAAAAGGTGGAAAATCCTGGGAATTCAGGGTGGGAAATCCCAGGAAAGGAGGGTGGGAAATCCTGGGAAAAGAAGGTGGAAAATCCCTGGAAATGAGGTAAAATCCTGGGAATTCAGGGTGGAAAATCCTGGGAATTCACGGTACAAAATCCTCGGAAAAAGAGTGGGAAATCCCGGGAAATGAGAAGCAGCTCCTGTCCCATCCCTGTCCCTTCCCAATGGGAATTGTTTTCCATGGAATTGTTTTCCGTGGAAGATCCGGGGCCCGGCACTGCCGCTCTGGGATGGATTCCAGCTCCCAATCCCAAATTTTCCTGGATCGGCCTCCGCCTCACGGCCCCCGGGACACTGAGCTGGGATCCGCTGGAATTCCTCTGGAATCCCTCTGGAAGAATCTGGAATCCCTCCGGAATTCCCCTGGAATTTCTCTGGAATTCCCTGAGATTCCTCTGGAATCCTCCTGGAATTTCTCTGGAATTCGTTTGGAATTTCCCTGGAATTTCTCTGGAATTTCCCTGAAATTCCTCTGGAATTCCTCTGGAATCCCTCCAGAATTCCCCTGAAATTTCTCTGGAATTTCTTCGGGAATGGGGGAAAGGTGGGAAAAAAGGGGGGGAAAAGGGGGAGGAAGGGGGGGAGGGGCCTCGGGATGGATGGGATTCCCTTGGGATGGACGGAATTCCCTTGGGATGGACGGAATTCCCTTGGGATGGATGGAATTCCCTTGGGATGGACGGAATTCCCTTGGGATGGATGGAATTCCCTTGGGATGGACGGAATTCCATTAGGATGGAATGCATTCCGTTGGGATGGAATAGCCTTGGGATGGATGGAATGGCCTTGGGACGGAATTCCATTGGGATGGAATTTCTTTGGGATGGATGGAATTCCCTTGGGATGGACGGAATTCCCTTGGGATGGACGGAATTCCCTTGGGATGGAGAGAATTCCCTTGGGATGGAATTCCCTTGGGATGGACGGAATTCCATTAGGATGGAATTCTGTTGGGATGGATGGAATAGCCTTGGGATGGATGGAATGGCCTTGGGACGGAATTCCATTGGGATGGAATTTCTTTGGGATGGATGGAATTCCATTGGGATGGACACAATTCCTTTGGGATGGACGGAATTCCCTTGGGATGGACACAATTCCATTGGGATGGACACAATTCCATTAGGATGGAGTGATTTAGGGATGGACAGAATTCCCTTGGGATGGACACAATTCCCTTGGGATGGGTGGAATTCCATTGGGATGGACGGAATTCCATTGGGATGGACGGAATTCCATTGGGATGTAGAGTATTCCATTGGGATGGACGGAATTCCATTAGGATGGACGGAATTCCATTGGGATGGACGGAATTCCATTGGGATGGAATTCCCTTGGGATGGACGGAATTCCATTGGGATGGACACAATTCCCTTGGGATGGACGGAATTCCCTTGGGATGGATGGAATTCCATTGGGATCTGGAAACCCACAGAGGAACATTTGGGATTTTCCACAGCGGGATGGGATGGGCTGGGATTTCCCCCCAAAACATTCTGGGAATTCTGGGATTTGGGGGGAGCTCGGGATGGGCCCCGGGGATTCCCAGGGCTGGGAATTCCGTGGCCACGGAAGGAAATGTCGGAGCACGAAGGGATTTGGAGACCACGGTGGTTTATTCCCAAAAAAAGGATTATTTTCCCTAATTTTAGGGAAGGGGGATTTTAGGGAAGGGAATTTAGGGAAGAGGGAATTTAGGGAAGGGAAATTTTAGGGAAGGGGGATGGGATTTTAGGGAAGGGGGATTTTAGGGAAGAGGGAATTTAGGGAAGAGGGATTTCAGGGAAGGGGAATTTTAGGAAAGGGGAATTTTGGGAAAGGGGGATGGGATTTTAGGGATGGGAGATTTTAGGGAAGGGGGATTTCAGGGATTTGTGGGGATTTTAGGGAAGGGAAATTTCAGGAAAGGGGAGTTTTGGGGAAGGGGGATTTTAGGGATTTGTGGGGATTTCAGGGAAGGGGGATTTCAAGGAAGGAGGATGGAATTTTAGGGAAGGGGGATGGGATTTTAGGAAAGGGGAGTTTCGGGGAAGAGGGAATTTAGGGAAGGGGGAATTTAGGGAAGGGGGAATTTTAGGGAAGGGGGATGGGATTTTAGGGAAGGGGGATGGGAATTTAGGGATGGGGAATTTCGGGAATTTCAGGAATTCCGGAATTCCCGGAATTTCGGGATCGGGGCTCACAGGGCCGTGCCCTGCTCGGCCGCCTTGGCCTCGCGGGGGTAGAACTCGGCCAGGACGTTTTCCGGGATGCGCTTGAGGAGCTGCTTGGGGAAGATCCTCAGGAGCCGCCAGCCGATGTCCAGCGACTCGAAAATGCTCCGGTTCTCGTAGGGCCCTGCCGGAGGATTTCGGGATGCGGGAACGGCTCTTCCCGATCCCGAATTCCCGGATTTGGGGCGGGGGGCTGACCCTGGGAGATGAAATGCTTCTCGAACTTGTGCAGGAACTCCAGGTACAGGAGGTCGTCGGCCGACAGCGCCTCCTCGCCCACCACGGCCTTCATGGCCTGCACGTCCTTGCCGATGGCGTAGCAGGCGTACTGC